GTGTGTGTGTGTGTGTGTGTGTGTGTGTGTGTGTGTGTGTGTGTGTGTGTGTGTGTGTGTGTGCGTGCGCGCGCGCACGCTTTGGCTGCAAGGTAACAGCACACTTTCTTACAAGAGCTTAAGCTCCATTTATGTTCTACTGTAAAAAAGTAAAGCCATTAATATTGACTTTACTGTACACTCAACAACTCTTTTAGCTTATTAAGTGCTAGTGCATTAGCATTAAAATATTTTTTTACCATGCAGTTATAAAATGTCCTGTGCTTTGTCATGCAGCTTTGAAATAAAATATTTCAATGTCACACTGTAATGTGCAACTCATTCAGGAATGGTGTGCTTTGACATTAGGTAGTGGTCCATGCTCCACTGGATGCATGGAAAAGCTGCTGCAAAACACTGGAAAAGTTTTGGCAAAGAACATGAAAGAATTTGTTTTTCTTTAGTGCTTTATTACTCAGGAAACATCATTCAAAGTTTGAACAGGTCACAGGAAGTTTGAGTTTATAAAGTGGTATTTTTATGTTGYTGCTCACTAACTGTAAACTTTTATGATTTCTCCAGATTTTTCCACAAAATGTTTAAAGGACGGTTTGTGATGCAAACCAATTTTAAATGTATCAAATCTTTTAAAACAAACTGTTTTGAATACAAAAACTGTTTTTAGGTACATACAGTACACAAGGTATGTAAAAGTATGCCTTGAAACCTTTGGCATAACAACTACATGCAATGTGTTGCAGTGACAGTGCCTCACCACATTTTAGTTAGTTTAGTTAAAAACTGCCAAAGTTCATTTCACTATGGCATACTTTCAAACTCTGATTTTGCTCAAACATTTAGCTCTCAGACACCCACTTTGGATGTTATCATCCATTAAATGGACGTTACTAGTCGTTATCAGTTCCATAGAATGGCTTCAGACTATCCCGACTGTGCCGCCTAGTGGGTTCTCCGTCCCATAGAATGGCTTCAGACTGTCAGCTGGTTAGTAGGAGGCATAAAACCACTAAGGTTTTTTATGCAATCTGGTTAATATGAGGCATAAAACCACTAAGGTTTTTTATGCAATCTGGTTAATATGAGGCATAAAACCACCAAGGGTTTTTATGCAATCTGGTTAATATGAGACATAAAGCCACTAAGGTTTTTTATGCAATCTGGTTAATATGAGGCATGAAGCCACTAAAGTTAATTTTAGAGAAAATGACATGGGCAACGATAAAGTAGACCGGACTCCGGCGGTAGCAGATTGTTGCGTTCCAACATAAGTGGCACTGGTAACCCACTAGGGGGCACTGTCCGGACAGTCTGAAACCATTCTATGGGACTGATAACCTGCTAGACAGCACAAGTCTGAAGCCATTCTATGGGACTGATAACCACTAATAACGTCCATTTAATGGACTGATACCATCTGAACCAGCTGTCTCAGATATGAGCTGGGCATCAGCTTCAGCTACAATGTCACCTGATTTTAGCTTTGTATTTGTACAACTGATAGACTATATAATTTTAGAAGCCATTTTTGTTGTTTTACTAAGATCATGCTGCTGTGGTAATCATCACATCAACTCCAAAAGTGAATTAATTGTAGATATCAACACAGCTCTTTTGCTAATGGTACAGAAAAATGCACAACCTGAGGAAGACGATAACCACTTAGCCTTTGACAGCAGATGATAAGAATAGCTTGCTGTGATGATCTAAAACTATAATCCTAAACAAGTGATGTTTCTTGTTTTTGTAGGACCTCTCTATGAAGTTGTTGGAAATACAAGCTCTCATTCAAACGATGGAAGCTCCCCTCAGATTCTGCTCCTGAACCCCTTTGTTTATTTTGGACATCCTTACACTCAGATATATGTATGTTTTGTGTTTGTCTTTAAATTTATTTTATTGTTACAAGTGTTTAAATAAAAAAAGATTAAAATCAATTTAAGAAAATACTAACTTCTGATTTTTTTTATTTTATCGAAGGTAAACCATAATGGTCACCTGACTTTTAACACACCATGGTCTAGTTATATTCCTCAACAGTTTCCAATGAATGGAACCAGAGACATCATTGCTGCGCTCTGGACAGACTTAAATAATCAAATCAACGGKGACATCTATTATGCTCAGTTCACCAGTGGCCATTTACTCCAACAAGTGACACAGGACATTGATGAATACTTCCCAGAACTTGACTTTAAAGCCAAATGGATCTTTATTGCAACATGGTACGGTGTTGCCTATTTCGAAGACCCTGGATCAGTAAGTGATTTTGTTTTTCTATTGATATAGAAGCCATGTTGTCACATCAAACAATACAGCTTTTATCTTTTTTCTTTTTACTTATGATGTATTCACAAAGATTTATTTATTTGATTAATTAACTTATTTTATTATTTTTTTTGCCAGCGAACAACATTTCAGGCAGTCTTGGCTTCTGATGGCAAATTCTCATTTGTGATGTTAAATTATGGTTATCTAGATTCTACATTAAGGAATGTACAGGTCAGAGGCATTTAAATTATAGCTGTTCATTTTAAAATAAGCTTTAACTGCCATTTTTATGAGAGCGTAAAATAATGTATGTGATAAAATAAATTTTAACTGTGTGTCATAATTTTAGGCTGGATATGACACAGTTAATTCCACTCAATACGTCACCCTCCCTGGCTCATTCTCAAGGAATGCAACTGGCAACAACTCARTTTTCAGCCACGGCAGTAACGTCAACGTACCTGGTCGGTGGGTTTTCCGTGTAGATCAGGGGCCAGCAGGTAAGACAAGTCATTGAGTCAAAAATAACTTTATCATATTAATGTACACATTATGAAACTGTTAAAATTACAACTAAAGCTCAGTTTGTTTCACTGTAAAACAGTGAAGCCAATAAAAGAAGCTCCTCCGTTTTATAACTTACTGAATTTTTTTCATACTTCTCCATCCATCCATCCGTCCATCCATCCATCCACCCATCCATCCATCCGTCCATCCATCCATCCATCCATCCATCCATCCATCCATC